TTTTCACTTAAACTGATTTATTCCCTATACCATGTAAAGGGAACGTGGTGTAAGAAATAAATCAGTCTAAGTGAAAATTTGCAGTTTCTTTCAGAACGAAAGAATACTACTATTATAAGGGAAATTATAAAAAAAAACAAAAATTGTAGTGTTTTATAAACATATTTATTTATACATAAAATTAAATAAACTTTTTATAATATAATAACAAAAAATAACAGTGTTTATTCCACCCACCTACCAATTTTAAATGCAGAAGAACTGACTGTTGCAGGAAACGATCGGCAATTGTTTCAAAAGGCATTAAAAATCTCATTTTCGTAAAAAACTGCCTAATTGCAACTGATTGCAATAACAAAGTGAATATCCAAGCAAAGAAGACTTTACGAGAATCATGATCCTGAACCATTTTCAAGTCCAGTTTTAATACTAAAACAAAAGAAAAATAGGTATTGTTGCGGACCGGTGTGGACTCGACCTAACCTAACTATATGCCCCGCCCTCAGATGACCTTAACATCGCATTAAAGAATAGACACCGTAATGATTCATTCGTTCGAGAAGAATCGAGTCCCACTGGAATGGACTAATACATACGAGAACATTCGAAAACCTTCTCTATGCACCTAACGATCTATGGACTATTCTAGATTTCTTTTGCTGTAGGTATAAAAGCCGGCGGCTGTGGCCTAGAGAAGGCAGTTATAAATATACAAGTGCAGTTGACGCGCTAAAATTCAAAATAAATTCTTAGTTATAAATCGTTTTTAAATAGTTCTATAAGTCTTTTATCGTTATTGTTTTTGTTAATTAGTGTTAAATAAATAGTGTTTAACTAAATTGTGACTTTCTATCCACACGGAACCGACGAAAAACGTAACAGTATATAATAAAGTTTCTGGTTACTATAAACCAGCTATAAACTACCTACCCAAAAAATGAAAAAAAATTCGAAATATTTTTGACACTACTACTTCTACTTTTTCTTAATGAGATGATAAATATAACTACATACTTTTATTTTACCGGGTGTCTTTAACATATCTATCAGAGAAAGGGGGCACCAATACATATAGAAAATAGATGATACTGGCTCCTGCAGCAAATAGTATAACCTAAAATTATAAGTAACAAAATATAAATACCAAAGATATTTAAACTTCGATAAATACCTATATGGAACAAAGGAATTTGTTCCCCATAAGTCAATAAAATGGAGCGTTTTAGAAAAAAGGTAAATCACCAAAAGAAAAATTAACAAACATGACGAATTGTCATGATGTTGTCATCTTGGTTGTCATGATGACGAAAACGAAAAACGAAAGGCGATTGTTCTAATTTATTTTTAGAAATTACGTTTTATATGGCTGCTTCTTTCTCTCTTGTTATATTAGAATGAGATAGTGGACCCAATACACGCAATGCGCAGATCAACATAAATAGCATGGTACAAAGAATACAAGGTATGATCGATAGCGGCTCCAATTTCGTTCCAGTTCGCGCATACCACCTGTGACGTCACTAGGAAAATGAGGAATAAATAAAAAATAAAGAAAGTTGACAGGAGATCTGCATTTTTTGGGGTTATGGTTAAGAATTGTTTATTTTTAAGACTTTTTAGTTCATTTAATTTAATAATTACTAAAACCAGCAGTTCCAAAAAAATATATTTAAAAATAATAATTATCTATTAACATGGATTTGGACTTTGGACCATAATAGGTAAGAATACTAAATTTATTTCTATATTCGGTATCTATAAAATTGTTTATTAGGTTTTTAGTTTGCGATGTTTATGGTAAATAATTTTCATGTTCATTGCCTCTGATTTCACATAAGGACAGAGATGAGGATATAATATATGGAAAAGTAACCACAAGAGGAATTGTTACATCATTTAAAAAATGTTGGGAATTTTATTGTTTCCCATTGAAAAGTAGAAAATGCCAATGCAGATGAATGTATTGTAATTGTGATAGAAGTAATTCCAAGGGTGAAGTTTATTATAATTAGTGGAAGTAATTCCAAGGGTAAAGTTTATTATAATTAGTGACCTGTGCTTTTCTTTTTATATGTAGATGTTTCTGGTTTTGAGAATAAATCCGTTGAACGACACCCAAAATTTAGAGGAAGTATTTGCATACCCAGAATATGCCCATCAAAGATTATATAGCTCAAATTTCCTTTAATGGTAGGCAATTATTCAATGCAAATTAACTTTTTAAGTGACTGAAATATTAAATAGTTTACAATATGGTATATCATTAAAAATATATTACTTTTAGGTACAATTAGGGCCTGATACATTTCAAAAAGTAGAATATTATTTTATATTAAATGAGGTATTGTACCAACAGTCAATTTATATTAATACCGGAGATGAAAAAATAACAGAATAAATAGTTCTTTTTTTATACTACAAAAATAAACTATAGAATACAACAGTATTTAAAAAAATAAATAAAAAGTTATGTCCCGGCCGAGATTCGAACTCCGGTCTCTCGCTTCCTAGCCCAACTCCTTACGCACTGCTCCACAGTAACTTGCTTAGCGATAATTCAATGACGGTATATAAACAAAAAAACAGGTTTATAACAATATCTTGACGATTTGAACTGGCGCGCGGAGCGTGCTGACCAATAGCGCCTGTTATCACCTGTGACGTAGCGACCAACCTGCGCAATATCATACCTTGTATTCTTTGTACCATGGCGCAATATTGTATTCTTTGTACCATGCATAAATAGAACGAAATTTTGCGTTCTGAGTTGCGCTACGGGAACGTTGTCCCTCTTTTTGCCATTTACTTTTCCAGTCTCTTTTTATTTGTTTGTCTATGCCTAAAAGTCAAATTTAGTGATTACCACAGCTGCTGTGCCATTAAAAGAAGACATGTGGTCTATTTATAATATAGGAAATAGGAAATTCAAATAATTCGGTTTCTGACAGATGGAAATAAATTGTCTGATTGTTTGACACTTAATGTCAAAGGAAGCTAGATAAACAAACAAATAAAAAGAGACTGGCAAATTAAATGGCAAAAAGAGGGACAACGTTCCCGTACCGCAACTCAGAACGCAAAATTTCGTTCTATTTATGTTGATCTGCGCGTTGCGTCTATTGGGCCCACTATCTCATTCTAATATAACAAGAGAGAAAGAAGCAACCATATAAAACGTAATTTCTAAATAGAAATTAGAACAATCGCCTTTCGTTTTCGTCATCATGACAACCAAGATGACAACATCATGACAATTCGTCATGTTTGTATTTTTTTTTTGTTAATTTACCTTTTTTTTCTAAACTCTCCATTTTATTGACTTATGAATATGGATAGGGAACAAATTCCTTTGTTCCATATAGGTATCTATTTATATTTTGTTACTTATAATTTTCGGTTATACTATTTGTTATTTTATTTGCTGCAGGACCCAGTATCATCTATTTTTTATATGTATTGGTGCCCCCTTTCTTTGGTAGATATGTTAAAGACACCCGGTAAAATAAAAGTAAGTAGTTATATTTATCATCTTATTAAGAAAAAAGTAGAAGTAGTAGTGTCAAAAATATTTCGAACCTCTCTCTTAACAAAACAAATTAATACAATTAATTCTTTTCATTTTTTGGGTAGGTAGTTTATAGCTGGTTTATAGTAACCAGAAACTTTATTAATATACCTATTTTACTTTTGTTTTAGGATTAAAACTGGACTTGAAAATGGTCCAGGATCATGATTCTCGTAAAGTCTTCTTTGCTTGGATATTCACTTTGTTATTGCAATTAGGCAGTTTTTTCGAAAATGAGATTTTTAATGCCCTTTCAGCAGTCACTTCTTCTGCATTTAAAATTGGTAGGTGGGTGGAATAAACACTGTTATTTTTTTTATTATATTATAAAAATTTTATTTATTTTTATGTATAAATAAATATGGTTATAAAACAGTACAATTTTTGCTTTTTTTTTATAATTTCCCTTATAATAGTAGTATTCTTTCGTTCTGAAAGAAACTGCAAATTTTCACTTAAACTGATTTATTCTCTACACCACGTTCCCTTTACGTGGTATCGGGAATAAATCAGTTTAAGTGAAAATTTTCAGTTTCAGAATGAAAGAATACTACTAATAAAGGCTAATTTAAATTTTCCGCCAGCCAGAATGTGCGATAATGTCTTACGATACGTTTTATACCTATCTATTTCTTTTTCATATAAAGCACACATAATAAAGAAAGATAGCAATAAAGACGTACGTCTTGCCATTTAATCGATAGATCTCGTTGTGAAACAATGATGTACCAAAAAATTTTTAGAAACTAATGCACGCTCAGCCTGAGACACCCTGTATACACCAAAAATGACAGAATACCCATCAAAAACACTCTACAAGATATAATTCGCTTTTGTTTAATGAAATCTAATTTTAGAGTGTCGAACATCGTTTCCAAGACTAACTTTATCCCCAACATCGATCGAAATAAAGTTGGATTTGGCTTGCTTGCGGTGTATACGGACTTTCCTAGGCTGTTATTAGTTTGCAAGTCATCTTTGGAAGGACTGAGAAAGGGGGAAATTCTGAATAAAACCGCAAGTCGAAACGTTGGGGACTTGGATATGCATTAAGTATCGAAAAGTTGTCGTAAACCGATTACAAACTTCGAAATGAGATGCTTTTTTACGTTTTTTACACGTCTTATTTAAGGTTTTGAAGTTTAAAACCTTATTTTCCGTCTTGAATAATGTTGGAAGATTGCAATTTTAATTCAAAACGGTTTAAATATTACGTAAGCTTATAAAAAACGTCTGTTCCCATGTGGCTGATTCATCTCTCCAAAAAAATCGTATATGGGTATTTCGCCACTGCAAGAAAAATCTACAAAATAAAATAGTTATTTTTTGTAAACACTACTGGCGTTCATCCAACGGAAACTACTTGTCACAATAACTAATATATTAGATATTATAAATATAAGATCTAACGTTAATATTGATGATTTTGTTACAGAATACGTCTGGCACACAGACCTGGACTTCTTGATATCACACCGGGACCGATCGGTGGTTTTGAGTTTTGTCTCGCCGAGCAGCGCTAACTTTACACCGTCTCCAGCTCCTTTGACAGTGGACCAAGCCAACACTAAGCCTGACGCCATGGCATTTACTAGTGCCAACGTCACTCACACAGTGATGAAGACTTTGAAAGATATCATTGGACATGAGAATCACACGTTCGAAGTCACTGACAGTGGTGAGTTATTATATATGTTTATATATTTTATTGTCCCGAAAGAGGAAGGAATCCAAACCACTGTCATTTTTTTAATTGTTTATATTTACTATGTCCTGAACTAAATAGTGGGTAATATTCTTAGTATTAATAATTATATTTTATTTTTAAAGTATACATATTCGTATTTTAAAGATAAAAAATTGTTTAAACTGATATTTTATACGTTCGAAATCAGTGACGAGTATTTTTTGTCCCGAAAAAGTAGGAAACCAAACCACTGTAATTTTTAATTGCGTTGATTTAGGCTGTTTTCAACGAAATATTGAGTAATTTTATTACTATTAATGATATTTTAGATTTAAGACATATGTATTCATATTTTAAAGATACAATATTGTTTGATGCCGATATTTCGCTGGATTAATGTTCATTTTAAACAAAAATCATACAAAACCATACATTAAACATACATTACAAAATCATACATTAAAGTATACATATTCGTATTTTAAAAATAAAAAATTGTTTAAACTGATATTTTATACGTTCGAAATCATTGACGAGTATTTCGCTGGATTTATGTTCATTTTAAACGAAAATCGAAACAAAACGCTTTAAAAACTAAGAAAAATTCACGGAACTCTCATAATTCAACGTCAAAACAGCGGGATAAACTCCAGTAAACAACGAAAAAAGTATGTATTATCGTAAATCTGTCAAACTTGGAAATCCCTGAGGATTTTTTTTCGTTTTTTTGTTCTGATATAGTAGGAAATCAAACCACTGTAATTTTTTAATTGCCTAGATTTAGACTGATTTGAACACACTCATGATTTTTTTCTCAAAAAATGTTTTTAATTTAAAAAAAACACCTAAAATTATGCTAGCTTGCCAAAAATGCCTGGATATTTTCTGGCTTAAGGCAATCTCTGGCAAAAACATACTTTGTTTTTCTACGAATAAACGTAAAAAAGAAATAAAAATCTGTATCCTCGGGGGTTTAGATCGACACCGAAGATTTCCTTTCTGTCGCGTCTTCTGTCAATCGGAAAACCGTTTATACAAGACCGTCCAAACAATTTTCTCCTGATTTTCACGGGTAAACAAGCTTTTCCTTTAAAGCGTCACGTAGAAATCGGTCTGTTTGGACTGGGTTTTTCATCGCACGAACATTGTTTTTGTCTGTTTGACAGATTTACGATAATACATACTTTTTTCCGTTGTTTATTGAGTCTATTCCGATGTTTTGACGGTGAATTATTAGAGTTTCGTGATTTTTCGTTAGTTTTTAAAGCGTTTCGTTTGGATTTTTGTTTAAACTGAACATTAATCAAGCGAAAAATTGGTATCGAACAATATTTTATCTTTAAAACGCGGATATATAGGCTTTAAAAATAAAATATAATTAATATTAAGAAAACTACTCAATATTTCGTTCAAAACAGCCTAAATATACGCAATTAAAAAATGACAGTGGTTTGGTTTTCTAATTTTTCGGGACAAAAAAACTAAGAAAATGTATTCGCAGTGGTTTATTTAGAACGACACCACAGATTAAGTTAGGCAACTTTTTTTTTGTTTCAGAAGGTCCTCTAGGATCATCTTTATCCCTGGAATACATTAACCTAGTGCTGGCATTAGTTATATACTCCATACGATATCCAGCTTTATTCTGGTCCACCAACAAATGCCTGGGTTTGATATTTTCTTTCCAACTTCTCATCAATGGTCTTCATACTATAATATCTTACTCTGGCATGAGCATATTATACAAAGTAAGTTGAAAAATCGCATTTTTATCACAAAATATACCTACAGGGTCTCTTAAAAATAAATGTTGTCAAACTTTTTTTTATTTTTTTTTCCAGATTCATGTAGCCAACTTATGGACATCTCTGCCACTGTTGCAACATAGTCCAAGACTGTACAAAAATTTCGATCGTGCAACACCGTTTTTGCTCAACGCCGAAGTAACATTTGCACTATTTATGTTGTCCACCCTGTTAGTTCTCGCTTCCAGCGTTGTCATGTATTTTTACGGACATACCAGGTAAATAAACAAGTTATTTTTCAATAATACTGGTTAATACCGGGGGCCTTTCAAAAGTGGCCCACCCCTATAACTTTTTTATTTTGTCAGACAAAAAAATGAGATTTGGTATGTTAATATATGACATAAATTATGATTGATTGACGTTTTCAATTGTTTTCGGTCACTTCCTGTTTTACCGGAAATGACTACAACGATTTTTAAATAGCATCCTCGGTATATTTTTACTTTATTCGATAGAAAATGACACTCTGAATCGAATGTACATATCATATCTAAACTTTTGAAATATTCGCTCAAAAACTGTATTTTCAGATTCACGTCATTTCTGAATCGTCAACGTGACAAAAAGCTCATAACCTTAAAAACATCCTCTGGAAATGCCTGGACTTACTTCACACACTGCGCGGCATTCTGCGTTCTGATCTCCATAGGTATTTGCAACGCCCCCCTGATCCACGATCATACAGTGGTGTACAGGGGAAGTCTGGATGACGTGACGCTCATCTGCATCATCGCAGGCATCCTTCACTTGTTTTTCTGGATCGTCATTTGGCTGTTCCTGACCGTCAAGCAGGCGTGGACATTTAAAATAAGAATTACGGTGAGTAGAATAATAAGAAGGTATGGAGTCATAATTTCCTCCTACCTTTTATACAGAGTGGTCCGAATTGTATTCCGGAAACTTTGGCAGCATATTCTGTAGATAAAAATAAGTAAAAATGTTCGATAAATGTATGTATGTCCTAAAATGCTTAGTTTTGGGGATACAGGCGGAGAAGTTTTATTTTTATGTGAAGAATATGCTGCCGAATTTTTCGGAATACAGTTCGGAGTTCGGACCACCCTGTAGATTAGATTAGTTTCTTCTAAAATAAACTTTTAAATCTAATTTATTTATTTTCGTTTCAACGTGACAGAATTGAAACTAAACTTTATAGAACAAGTTAAGAACTCGCAAAGACACGTCTATAGAATTTAGCGCTTTGAAATGTCGACATTTTCGATACTATTCTTGAAAGGTGAATCGCCAGCCCACAAAAATCTAAAGGCTTTCCTCGAAAAGAAAATGTATTTTCCCTTGTTGCGAGGCGCTGGAGAGCCTTTACAATTTACAATACATTCGGAAAATTGCGGTCCGCTACAAAACTGGGATTCGTGCGATATTATCTGGATGTAGTCCCGGTTTTCCTTTTCTGGAGGGCGTACGGGAACTCGGGGGTAAATTTATTGGCACTAACGTGAGCAGACTATACTTATTTTTAAAATGGAGTTTAGTTTTAAGCGTTCGTTTTTCAGTGAGATATATTTTATATTTTGATTTATTGTCCATTATTTCTTCCTTGCTGGGAATAATCAAGAGAGACCTTAAAAGAACGTGGATACGAGAAAAATTATAAGAGATTATAAAAGATAAAAAGGTTATGGAAAATTGCTTGAAATTATTTTCAAGTTTGTAGAACGACCGCTGGGGGGCGCAACTGCAACAAAAAATAGGAAAATGCAGTTTTTACACAATTTTGCCTAGATAAGGTGTACTATAAGTAATAGCTTCATAATCTTCAGTAAATTTTGAATATTTTTTGTTAGAGCCATTTTCCCCTATCTACCAAAATAAAGTGGTGGAGGAAGGTTAGATCTGTTTTTATTTAAATATTAATAACTCTGGATTGGATGATCGGAATCCAACAAGCAAGGGCTCGTTTAAAAGAGCGTTTCTTACTCTATATTGTACCATATAAACAATAATAATAAGCTCTTGAACGTAGACGCTAGAGGGCGTTGTCTTACAATTTAACAAACATTGCGCGTTTTTTCAAAAAAATTAAATGCAATAGTATATGTAATTTTAGCTGATAATATAGAGTAGTAATAGCTTAAAAAGACAGCCAAAAACCGCATTTTGATATCTTCTTTCAAACCGAAGATATTAGCAAAATTATAATAAATACCAAAAAATAAGCCCTTAATTACCTTATTTTTAGAACACGGTATCAGTAGCCCTCTTAATTATGCCCATTCTAACAAAAAATAAGATAGAAACAGTTAGTTTATTATAAAATCGACGAAATACCAGAATACCGTAATACCAGAGGTATTAATATCTAATAATTAAGTTATTAATAACACTGAACAAGAAACGATGATTCAGTAAAGTCATGGTAGACTTTGGGAAAAAATTGCTTTTGACGTAATAGTATAAACGTCAAATTGTTATTAGATCAACAACTTCAACTATTTCAAATAATAAAGGCACTTTGCAAAAGCAATTAAAAGATAAAAAACGCTGATAAAACTATCAAAATGTTGATCTAATAACAATTTGACGTTTATACTATTACGTCAAAAGCAACTTTTTTCCAAAGTTTACCATGACTTTACTGAATCATCGTTTCTTGTTCACTGTTATTAATATCTTAATTATTATTAATATATTAATACGTCTAGTATTATGGTATTTCGTCGACTTTAAAATAAATTAACTGTTTCTATCTTATTTTTTAGTAGAATGGGCATAATTAAGAGTACTGATACTGAAATCGACAAATATCATGAGACAACTTTTAATCGGCATTGAATGGCCTACAGAACTGTGCTAACAAGAGCAAAGAAGTCAATGGCACACAGTTTTTTTTTAGAAAAATATTCCTTATGCACGTCCCTGATTAATCAATCTATCAACACTTTTTTAGCATTAAAAACGCATTATTGTCGCACTTCCTCAAAATTTCATTCGAAACGCTAAAAGTACCTCTACTTGGAAGAAAATTAAAATAAATCGAAAAAAAGGACACTTTAACCTCCTGTAGCTACGTAACAAAGCATAATCTGACCTGTGTTGATATAAGAAATAAATCATATTTTTACATGAGGAATCTCCCCACGAGAGATGGCACATGTTTTTTCAAACACCCTGTATAACTTGTAACAACAACACCCTGTAATCTTTTTATGCAAAGATGAAAGTGGGGATATTACATGTAATTTTTCCAGATTTTAATACTCTGGAATGCTCTCCCTGTCTCTAAATCTCCATTTCTCCACTCCATCCCACTTCCCCCACTCACTCGTCTGCCGGTTTCTCCATTTAATAGTCTAATCCGGTTTAAAGCTGGCAAGCAAACCTCTGGAACGAACGTAGTGGGCTGGATAAAAGCCTGGAAAATCCCGAAATCCGGAACCTTAAACACGAAGAGATAAAACGAAGGGTTTTTACAAAAAAAAGTATCTCACTTTATTTATATTAACATTGAAGGGTGTAAATGAGTATGTTGAATGGGTTCAAATTTAAGTTGAAATAAATTTATAGAATAAAGAAATAGTTACAAGACGATAAAATGCAATTTTATCGTCGTGTATAAAACAATATTTTTTTTCCATTGCGAATTACGTTTTAAAAAATATTCGGAAATTATTATCGAGGGAATTTATTACCAGTAGAAAACATATTGTGCTGGGTTGACGTTGGTTTCTGTAATGTAATTTGACAAATAAATAAAGCTGTCTCTTTAGTTGTCAGTTTTGAGTCAACATTTTTTAATTCTCTTTCGTGTCGATTGCTGATTGAATTTGAGCCAGAAATGGCTCAAAACGAAATAAGTAAATTACCAACAGATATTCAGGCTGAGGCGACAAGAAGTAAAGTTTTTAACCTATCCTCGCTTAAAGTATCATTTAATCTACCATTGCGGTTAAAGTAATATTTTATCTATTATATTTGATAGATATAAGGCAATGTTAACAGTTGCTATGGAAAAGAGTTATTTTAATAGGCATCTAAAAGTTATTTGCCAAAAAACCTACTTTCAAATTACTAAAAATTTGTAATACGGCCCAGAAAAAGCTACTGGTGGATTGACTTTGAGTCTCCTTTCTTCTTTTTAATTTAAAAGGTCTCTTTTAAGAAGAACTCGTATAATAAGAGAAAATAATAATGGAAGAATATTCAATAAACGAGTTATTAAAGCAATAATTTTGACAACTAGTGTGTTTAACTACCCAAACTAACGAAACAACAAACGCCGCAGTGTTTGGTCATCTTAAACAACCAAACAAACTAACTCAAGTTAAAGGGACGGCAGTTCCGTCTCATTTCCTCTGTGGAAAATCGATTTTTAATTAAACCGGAGTATTCCGGGAGCCGGAACAGGGTCCTCCCTCTAAATTAACACGATGTCATCCCTTGATCCTCCCACGGGAGGATTTTTACGAAGCGTTTTTGGTACTTTTGACAGAATTGGAGAAAAAACTTTGGAGAAATCCGACTAAATTTAGATGCTTTCTAACTGTAGTTTTTATCGTGTATTTTTTTATGTATTGACTTAAGATTTTAAATCATTGAAAATTATACTGAGTGAGAAAGAGAACATCTAATATATGTTTTTTCCATAGCAACTGTTAAAATTGTCTTATATCTATCAAAAATAGTAGATAAAATAGTACTTTAACCGCAAAGGTAGATTAAATGATACTTTAACAGCGAAGATAGGTTAAAAACTTTATTTCTTCTCGCACGTTTTTTAATTGCTTCCATTTTTAAAAAAAATTGTATTCCTTTTCATAAGTTATTGGGGATTTAAATGGAAGAAGTTTGGATATGGCGTTTGTCGCCTCAGCCTGAATATCTGTTGGTAATTTACTTATTTCGTTTTGAGCCATTTTTGGCTCTAGTTCAATCAGCAATCGACACGAAAGAGAATTAAAAAATATTGACTCAAAACTGACAACTAAAGAGACAGCTGTATTTATTTGTCAAATTACATAGAAACCAACGCCAACCCAGTGCAATCTTTTTTCTACTCATAATAAATTCCTTGGAATAATAATTTCTGAATATTTTTTAAAACGTAACTCGCTATGGAAAAAATATTGTTTTATACACGACGATAAAATTCATTATCGTATAAAATACCATTTTATCATCTTGTCTAAAAAAATAACTATTTTCTGGCTGCCTAATATTTCCTTGAATAAAAAGTTATTAAGAAAGTATCGCTGTTTAAGGATCTTTATCTCAGAGTCTGCAGCAAAGACTTCCTTGAGACAGGTTGAGCTTGTTCAGATAGCACTTGAGAGCCATATGTCCTGTCAAGAGATCTATTATAATCCGCACTTTTTTCCTGCTGGGTATTAGCAGCTCCTATGTGGTTTTAGAAATAGGTCCTTGGATAAAGACTTAGTTTTTCCAGCAGATGGTCTGTTTTTCTCTGATCCAGAGTTTCCTTTTTATTATTTTTTAGAAAGAAGATCCTTTTTATTAATACAATATTTATTAAACAACTAGTTTCGAAAACGATGTTTTGCACACGAGTTCGACACACAAATCAAACGAGTGTACAAAGAAGTTTTCGAACGAGTTTTTTACGCTATTTTTTCTACGACTACAAATTAGCAGCAGACTCACTCAGTTTTTGTCAGTTTTGTGGAATAATTTGCTATGTAATGATCACAAAACATCCCCCTTTAGAACTTCGTCTGTCATGTTAAGAAATGAAAGTAAATAATAAAGCGCCTCTCGTGTTTGTTCGCACTCAAAAAATTTCAATTAATGCCGGTATATATTTTTAATATATTTTTTAAATTTACATTTTTTTAATTGAAAAGTAATATATTACATTTAAGTGGAATATATTTCATAACAATTATGTCAATTACAGGATTACAAGCTTGTTTTCTAACATTTTTTAAATAAAACGAATTATAAAATTTCAATATATGTATATTTGTCGTAGGTATGAAAAAAGTAAAATATAAAATGGAAAAACGCTTAACAATATTTCTATTTCACAAATAAAAATATCCGACAACACTAAAATCACTGAAACTTCCGCGGCTGACAACGAAAACTGAAAAATATAACGGCACTTTTTGTTTTGGACCTGCATATTAACATTACGCTGTACTATTATGCGTTTGTTGTTGAAGTAATGTAAAATATCTAATTATAACTTGTAAATTTTAATATTTTAACATGATTTTAACTACTTTTGACAATAACTAACTTTTTATCAAGATGATATTTTAGACGGCAACTGACATATATGTCATAATATTTGAATCTTAAATATGTACATATGTAATATAATTTAAATTACTATAATGCAACTTTATACTAAGAAAACATATATACATTCACAAAATACAACAAAGTCTAATAATATAGTTTGAAAACAATGAATATTGAATTAAAATTGAAAAAGTTAAGCGCGACCCCTTGTGTCAAAATTAGATGATTAAACTTTCGCAATTTTTACACCATTTGATGACCGGTGGCGCCTCTAGTGTTTGTTCGGGCGGTTGGTCTTTTACTCCCGCTTATGGCCATTAAAGAAAAAGTTCTAAAGGGGGATGTTTTGTGGTAATGATGACACTTTCCTGCGTTGCGTTTGGCGTTTCAGCTAAACATTGGAGGTTAAAAATTTTAAAAATTAACACATGTCGTGAGCACTAAGACACATGTCGTTAGCACACGACAGTTCGCAAAACGCCAATTTCATATCGAGTTTTCCGTGTATTAAACTGCATTTTCTAGGCTAGTCGTAGAAAAAATTATTTATAGTCTACTTAAGCAACGTGTTTTTGAACACCTGTTTCTGTCACCATCATCAATTTCAGCTTATTTGAACTTTATGGTGTAGCATCCCTCACATATTTAGGTATTCTCTTTGTAGCACCGCAAGTTGTTGTTTATAGTTGGCTATACGGGCCCAAGTTTTCCCTGCTAATTTCCTAATATCATGGTCCCATCTCAGGTTTGGTCTTCCTCTAGGTCTCTTGATTACTAGAATTAGAGAATTAGAATAAGTGGGAGGGGGGTTAATCTCTGCGACCTTAGAGATCTATTGTGTCCCCCTTTCTTGAGTTATAACTCATCATACAGTCCCAGGACTTCCTACGGAGACCCGTGTCCCTCACAGTCGAGGAGCTACGACCCAGGCCGGGTAGACGAAACGGTAGCTTGTGTCGCCTGTTGGGTTTAGAGGTAGAAGGTAGGCTCCCGACCCTTGGAGGAGGTGGTAGCTTGTATGCCACTTGCGGAGGATGGTCTCACCCAAGTGTCAGCCACCTCTCCTGTAGTTCTCTTTGGGTTTGGCCCCTTGGAACTTTCATTGTTACTGTTCCCAGTGTCGCTAGAGGGTTTCTCCACAGCTTCACCGATGATGTTTTTATTACTATTATTATCAGATCTCATAGTGTTCCTATGAGTCGCTAGGGACAGTCGGTCCACTTCTACAGAGCCCCGCATGTAGAAGTAAGGGTAAAATACAATGGGTGCCCCCGGTGCCCCAAGGTTGAGGCTGTCCGTAGCCCCGCCCGGTATCGTTATATGTCTTGGTGCAATTCCCTGACCACGACACTACAGTCAGGGACAAGACGATGAGTGAGATGCTTCTTAGACCAAGCCAAGTGCAAGACGGGATTCCCCCCAGCACCTGACCAGGAGCTTCCCCACCAACGACAAGGTCTTGCATCTCCTAGGGGAAGCTCTTGATTACTACCAAGCTGTGTAATTTTTGTGGTCCATCTGTTGTCCATCCTTCTTGCCAAGTGTCCTGCCCATTGCCACTTGAAGGATTTGATTCTGTGGATGACATCTATTACCTGGGCTTTTTGTCGTATCCACTCTATTCTTTTACGGTCTCTCTTGGTTATTCCCAGAATGTTTCATTTCATTGAGCGTTGTACGACCTGCAGTTTTCTTATAATGTCTGTTTTAAGTGTCCAGGTTTGGCATGCATGGTAAAGACCATGACTGGTAGCACACATTGGTCGAATGTTTTCTTCTTTAGATAAAGTGGCATTCTAGATCTGAATATGATTGAGTATGTGTAATTAATATTTTAGCAAAATATATGTGTTTTTTTTACAGATTGGTCAAGCTACAGTACGAGAATCTCGTTCCCTGCGTCTGGTCCACGATGTCCATCTCAGCAACCATCGTACCGAGGAAACGGTACAACAGCAACCCTTGCTGGTAATTGGTAACGGTCGTACCTACACTGTGTCGGAAACATCGCCCAAGAAGGCCATCATGGGTGTCATCCAGAAAGCTGCTTTGATCAAGAAGTCAAAAAGTAATGGTAAGTACCATTTTTTATCCTTAGGGGGCCTCATTGACCTAATCTCACGTGATATCTTTCAAAATTTGTATTTTGAGTATAAATTCTAATTCAGTACAAGGAAACTCGTGCACGATATCAAGAGTGAATTTAATATACAGAAGAATTATGTCATACTAGCGTGTACCCGCGACTTCGTTCGCGTCGAATTAATCATTTGTAAATGGTGATGATAAAACAAAGCAAGAATTTCCATTAACATACAAACTGGATAAAATTTTCTCACATTTATGTCAGCATGAGAAAAAACAATCGAGAAACCCCTCCTTATCGAACCTCTACACCCCACAGTCAATCCTTTGCCAAAAATCAGCTTTAAACGTCAAGCAGTTTAAGCATAATCGTGATTACTCAATGGTCATATTTTATGAAACACCTTGTATAATTTTCTAAAAAATCTTAAAATATGTAAAACAACAAAATAAAATATACGTGTTTAAGAGTTTTTCCGAAAAACTCACCGGTTTTTAAATAAAAATTATTTTAATATTTGAGTGGTGGTTTCACCCACTTAGAATTCGAGTTTCGAAAAATCCCTTCTCATTGAACCTCTACACCATAAAGTCAATCCGTTTTCCAAAAATCAGCTTTTTACGTCAAGCGCTTTAAGCAGGATTGTGATTAATCAATGACCAGATTTTTCGAAACACCCTGTATACATTTTTAAAAAATCTTAAAATATGTAAAAAAACTTTATTTTGTTTTATATACGTGTTTAAGCGTTTTTTCGGAAACCTGACCGTTTTTTAAATAAAAAATATTGTAATATTTGAGGGGTGGTTTCACCCCCTTGGAACTGGAATTTCGAAAAATCCCTTCTTATCGAACCTCTACACCCTAGAATCAACCTGTATGCCAAAATTGAGCTTCTTACGTTGAGTGGTTTGAGCAGGATCGTGATTAATCAGTGAGTCAGTCACTTAAGGATTTTATATTATATAGTATAGATTTTGCCATATATATTTTAGTCAATAAACATGTTTTACCTCCTTTAAATTAATCTCATTGTCATTTAACTTGTATTTATGTGATCGCGAAATTATTTTTTATAATTGTTTATTGTTTCAGGCTCGATAACAACAAACGACGACAGTGATGACCAAATTTACTGGCTCAGACCAGCTTTAGTACCATCCCTGAACTCACCGGACAGTTCCAAGTACTTCTGCTGGTTCAAGAAACGACCCAAGCAGAAAGTGACCTTCAACGAACTGTCAAATACCACGATCACCCGGTAATTTTGTAGTATTTGTGTTCTAGAACCGTTTTTAATGCTCAAAACGTAAAAATATAGTATTACAGAGTTTTTATTATCACACTGTATATATTTAGGAAATAGACATCAAAGATCACGGTTTTATTTCTATGTTTGGTACTTTATTTCTTTTGTTCTACATTTAAATGACAATAATGACAATATTTTGATATAAATTACTTTGAAAAAGATCTAAAAAGGAATTGTGAAAGATTTTTTTTATTCATCCCCGGGAAGGGGTGAAATAAATAAACAAAATTATTTTTTTGAAATTTCGGAGAAACGGTAAGGAACGGACAACCAGGCGATAATAAAAGGACTAGAAAAAGAAAGTTCAAATAAAAATTGTAGAGCGTTCAATTTTCCATAAAAATGGTCTCTATTCTTTTTTGCTCAAATCAAAATTAACCGAGATAGGGTGGCTAGAAGCTAGGAGACTTTTATTGAAATATTTTTTTTCAAAGTCCTTACCGTGTCTCTGAAATTTGAAAACAAAAATAGTTTATCTATATTTTTCACCCCTTCTCGGGATGAATTTAAAAAAATATCTTAATTGAAATTTATAATTTTCCAAACAAATTGAATAAAAATGTTAAATATACCGGGTATTGCATCGTCGGACGGCACATAGGAAATCCCATGTAAATTTTAATGGGGTCAATTATTGGCTTCCCTAATTATTTTAGAGGGCTATTTAGGTTTATTGAAGAGCACTAAAACCCACATTCGAAAGAATAACTTTAGATATTTTTGATTAGCTCGTTTACGAGTTATCGCCGATTTCTTTTTAAATATTTCTCCTTTCTTATGGCCCTGTATTTACTTATGAGCACCAGTCTAGGTAAAAGATAACTGTCAAATGAAGTTGTCATTTCAGAAATTTACCTATTTAGTGCTTTATTATTATTGAAAACTCATTCCTACATCGGAAATCTTAAAGACGTATTTATAATACAAATTAATATGAATTAAAGTAAAATAAAGTAATCAATTACAAGGTTAATCATAGTATTGTTACAATATTCAATAACTTATTAATTTAGGTACTATTAAATTGTTAGAACTTTAGGATTTAAGAAGATGTTCAAATATTCCTCCATCGACTGCTAGACAATAACCCAGGCGATCATAAAATTCTCTTCTTACATTCGCTAGTTGGTAAACTGAAATTCTATTGCATTCGGCAGAAATAGCATTATTTAACTCGTCTAGATTTGGGTATTTTTTATCCTTGTATATCCTGTTTTTTAAATGGCTCCAGAGAAAGAAATCATTTGGCGAAATATCAGGAGACCTTGCAGTTTACAGTATGATTTAGGCCAATAACGTTTCCATTAAAATTCCTGATTTTCCCTAGCGGCATCATGTAAAGCAGGTAAAATAGGATTTTCGAGTAGTTCCAAATAATATTCTGCATTTAAATTTCGCGTAAGAAATAATGGCCCGATAATATTGTGTCCGAATATCCCTGCCCAAACATTTACTTCCTGTGGATATTGCGTCCTTGTTTCGACAAACCTGTGTTGGTTTTCTTTGTTCCAATATCGATAATTTTGAACATTGGGTTCGTTATTTAAGGTAAACGTGCATTCGTCAGTGAAACATATGTTTTTAAAAAAATTCCCCTATCCGTGTTTGCTCTTTCCATCATATCAAAACAAAACGCCTGCCGCCGTATTTCGTCCCCATCTCGTAGCTCTTGGTGCTTTTCTATATTTGAAGGAACAGTATTTATGTCGTTTCAAAATTCGAAACGCTGTAGTGTGATCTATTCCTATTTTCATCCTCAAGTTTCCTTTGTGCTGATCTTTCCATCGTCCTCTTCCACGCACAATAAAACTTCCAAGTCGGTATCATTTCTTGCATCTTCTCTTTGTTCCTGCCTTGCTTCACATCTGCAGTTATTTATTAGGGTACCTTTGGTCTCAAATTCTGAATATTCCCTTTGGTGATTGTAGATTTTCCAGGTATCGGTCTTCATCTGAATACAGAGCAGCAAACATCTCCGACACCTTTTGATAACTATTTCCTTGATAATATCATTTCATCAATACTTTTTCTTCGGTAGTGTAATTCATGGCTAATATTTTCGATGTAGGTATGAGTTTTTAATAATAATAATAAAGCACTAAATAGATAAATTTCTGAAATGACAACTTCATGTGACAGTTATCTTTTACCTTGACTGGTGCTCATAAGTAGTTATTTATTAGGGTACCTTTAGTCTCAAAATCTCTGGATATTCGGATACAGAGCAGCAAACCTGTCCGACACCTTTTGATAACTGTTTCCTTGATAATACCAATCATCAATACTTTTCTTCGGTAGTGTAATTCATGGTTAATATTTTCGATGTAGGGCTGAGTTTTAATAATAATAATAAAGCACTAAATAGATAAAATCTGAAATGACAACTTCATGTGACAGTTATCTTTTACCTTGACTGGGTGCTCATAAGTAGTTATTTATTAGGGTACCTTAGTCGCCAAAATTCTGGATATCTGGATACAGAGCAGCAAACATGTCCGACACCTTTTGATAACTGTTTCCTTGATAATACCATTTAATCATCAATACTTTTTCTTCGGTAGTGTAATTCATGGCTAATATTTTCGATGTAGGTATGAGTTTTTAATAATAATAATAAAGCATTAAATAGATACATTTCTGAAATGACAACTTCATGTGACAGTTATCTTTTACCTTGACTGGTGCTCATAAGTAGTTATTTATTAGGGTACCTTTAGTCTCAAAATCTCTGGATATTCGGATACAGAGCAGCAAACCTGTCCGACACCTTTTGATAACTGTTTCCTTGATAATACCATTTAATCATCAATACTTTTTCTTCGGTAGTGTAATTCATGGCTAATATTTTCGATGTAGGTATGAGTTTTTAATAATAATAATAAAGCACTAAATAGATAAATTTCTGAAATGACAACTTCATTTGACAGTTATCTTTTACCTTGACTGATAAGAAAGGAGAAATATTTAAAAAGAAATCGGCGATAACTCGTAAACGGGCTAATCAAAAATATCTAAAGTTATTCTTTTGAATGTGGGTTTTGGTGCTCTTCAATAAACCTAAATAGAATTATTCTCTAAAAAAAATTATTCTCTTTCTCCCGAAATTAATCTTTTCGGGGCGGTCGACGATAAAATACCATTTTATCGTCTTGTATAAAAAATAACTATTTTTTCACCGCTTCCCGGGGGTGAATTTAAAAAAAATCACAATTCGCTTTTAGATCTTTCAGAGCCAAAACTTTATATTTAAAAGCCTTTTTTCTTCGACTACAAATAGTAAATTTGATATCAATTTAAATGAGCGAGCGTTTGCGTTAAAAATTTTGGGATATCGATTTCGCAAATGCCGCCGCCGCTAAACATCAACTGCTGTCATATTTCCGTTACAATTTCCATCCAAAGGGAAATTGAAAATTTATTGAATAACAGCGTTCAGGGAAACCCACGCTATTTAATCACGTTTTAATGTAGTTTCATGCACGCACACTTTTATTTATTTATTTATGCGTTTGTGTACTTGTTGAAAACAAAAACAAATAATGTTTATTTTTTATTTTATTTTGTATATATAAATTGATAGATATTTGTTTTATGTTTGTGTGTATGTATATAAAATAGGTTAAAGATTAGTTTTTATTTGATTTATTTTTTGTACGATATTATATTGTAATTTATTTTTGTAAATATATAATTTTTAGTTTATTTTTTTTGTGTGTTTTATTTTTGACGTTAATTGTAGAACATAAAAAATTTTGTTTAGGATCAGTTTTATAGGTTCAGTAGTAGATCATCTTTCAGATCAAAAAATTTAATTGATTTAATGATAAACTACCGTGTGATAGGAAAAAACGGCGTCATAGACAGCTGGGGAATGACAATCGATGATAATTATGTCGAGGTCAAGCCCTAGATAGCATTTACTTGGCTCGAACCCTTTTTTAATTTTTAATAGCGCTTGCTGCCAGTTAAGGCCGTAAAAAGGTTGACCAAATGATAACAGTGATCAAAAACTTAACAGTTTTGTGAACAAATATTTTAGAACCTTTCTACGTTCACTCTGTATGTCTGGGAACAGATGTGAGTGGCATAATAAAGGTTTATTGTTAATGGTTCACCCATTAAAAGCAACGAAAATGCCTTTTCTTGTTAAATATACGGGAAACCCGTAAAATTTTTGTGGCTCGTGACGTAGAACGGTTAACTACTCGGCAGAAGGCTATAAAAATATAGAACATAACCGCTAGTATACTTAAAAATGCATTTAAGAGTTGTTATTTATGAAATTCGGACTGTTTCAGACAGTTTTATTGGTTTAATTTACTCCTTTATTTTTTATTGTTAAATTATCAATTAGTACAGCTAAATAAAGATATTTTTTAGGCACAATTTCATTATATTTTTAACCCTAGAACACTAACCTTTCGTAAATTTTACGAAAACTATCCAACTTTTCAAAAATTGGAAACTAAAGTTGAGTGAAATAAACTTTTAATCAAGTGATTAAGCTTGACAGGCACATCAGCGTCACAAAATATTTTAGACAACAAAAATAAATTAATTACAAATATACGGGGTGGTACGAACTGTATTCCGGAAACTTCAGCAGCATATTCTACAGGTAAAAATAAGTAAAAAAGTTTGTATAAATGTATGTCCTAAAATGTTTAGTTTCTTAGATACAGGGTGTAGAAGTTTCATTTTTATTTCGATTTTTTTCAAATAATTTCTGACTGCTTGCCTGAAGAAAATGATGTTATGGATTTGATTTCAAATGGCAGGTGATTGTGTATTTTTTTCGAGTTGTATAATGTTGAACTTTCAACTAACTCTGAGCGTGGGGTAGGTAAATAAAGATCTTGCTCCGCATTCCTGAGTGGATAAGTGTGAGATGGCCTTTCTTGAAAAGCTGATAAATGCTTACGTATTAAATAAGGAAGGAAGAGTTAATATTTTTAATTTTTTAAAAAAGTCCTGGCAATGAGTTCTGCTTTTTAGTTCCAGTAAATATCGAACAGCTCCCTTTTGAAGCTTGAAAATGCGGTCAAATTGAGTCGCACAACACGTTCCCCAGAATGGAAGGGCATACCTGAGGTGCGACTCAAAAAGTGCATAATAAACAGTTCTAGCCACTGACAAGTTAAGCTCCTTAGAAACAGATCTTAATGCAAAACAGGCAGAGCTCAGTTTTTTCGACAAAGCTTCGATATGCATGTCTCATTTCAGAGAATTGTCTAGAACAAGCCCTAAGAATTTTACAGATTTTACGACGTCAGTGGTGGTGTTGTTAAGTACAAAAGGCTGCAGCGAGATTTTATACAACAAAGCTTTAGTTTTAGAAATGTAGAGACTCAGGAGGTTCGAATCGCACCAAGATTTAATGGTGATTAAGTCATTTGATATAATCCTATGAAGTGCCGTGACGTCCTTGTTTGGAATCGATTTAGAAATAAAAATGAAACATCTACACCCTGTATCTTCAAAACTAAGCATTTTAAACACATATTTTAATATGCAGAATATGCTACCGAAGCTTCCGGAATAAAGTTCGGACCACCCAGTATAAGAAACTATTTTTATTAAAAAAATCACTGCATTTATTTTCCAAGTCATATTAGCAGAACAATACAAGTAAATTACCTACGACTTTTCAATTTCCTCAAACAAAACAAACATTGCCCTCGAACCAAATCAAAAAGAAAAACCAAAACTCGCGCAATCGAACAGAACTTGGAATATACGAGAAAAATCGCTTTTGTCGTCGCTGGAAAAAGGGTTGGAAAATCATAATTGAGAAGCTGAATAAGCTCAAGATTTGTTTTTCCACCATTTTTCCAAGGGAGCTTGTTATATCGTTCAACTTGTTGAGTCTTTCTATGGCTTTTCGTATAGTGCGTTTAGTTGGGGTTCACTCGCGGTCATTATTACAAGTGCAACTTGACAGATTTCCCCTTTTTTAATATCGGCTTACGTATTTTCAACAGGTGTACCAACCTTAGACCATAGTACATCTAGACACGGGACTTTTTTGATTGATAAAAAATGTCGAAATTGAGCCAAGGGTTACAAAGGAAAATGTGTAGGAATTCAATATGAAAATATCTATTATACAGGGTGGTCCAAACTGTATTCTGGAAACTTTGGCAACATATTCTACATATAAAAATTAGTAAAAAAGTTCGTATAAATGTATGTAGATACTAAAATCACAAATTATACAGATTATAATCTTTGTTTTTTCTTTATTGTTTTTCGTGGTTCCAATTTTCGGAATCGGGCACTAGTTAGGTGACTAGTTTGCGCACATAGCACGCCCACTTATGGCCTCTAAAATTGTGCACAGCGCCTGACCGGCACAGCTATTAGAGAGATATCGGAAAACCGAATAGCGTCATCCAGTATTTACGCGTACCTTATCATGGTTACGATATGCGCGAGTCAATTTTTAACGCAACACCCGCTAATAACGTTACCGTCTGACGTAATTTGCGGATCAATTACACCAAGCGCTCTTTCTAAATAACCTCTGATAACGTTTAAAAATTGCTTAAATGGCCATGTGCGGGTATTTGACAACCGGAGCCGGCCGGCGAGATCTTTTATTCTAGGTTATGTTTGAATTGTTTTGAATTATTGCTTTAGTTTTATTAGGTAATTTGATATTTAAGTAGCTGGGATTAGTTTTAATTAAATAAATATGGCTCAAAATATGGATTCCACCTCTTCCAATACTAAAGAACCTATAAAGAGGCTTAGGTTTACAGCAGATGACGACTTAGCCCTTCTAAGAGAATTTGTTGCTTGTTGTCCTAAACCCACTGGCAGACGTTGAACAATAAAGCACTGGAAATAAGCACTTTAGCCCTTTAGTTTTAAAATACCTTAGTTAAGTTTACATAAAGACAATTTCAAAGTTTTAAATTCAATTCAAGTTAGGTTAAGTTTAAATAGCGGACGCGACGCGAACAGAATTCTTTCCGATCCGATAACTATAAATAAAGAGAGTTAATACCACCTCACGTAAAGGAAATAACACCTGGCCTTATTAACGTCCATGCACGCTATTCGGTTTAGCGATATCTCTCTATTACGCTGTTTATTGTTATTTTACGCCAGTTTATTTTTGCGCACAGGAAATTTGACTCGTTTGCACATCGTCATAAAGAATAACTTTCGTACCACGAATTAGGGACAAGATTTTTATCTGTATACTTATAGGATACCTAATCTGTGCTAAAATACTTAGTTTCCAGAAGATTCAATTTTTTCAAATAATTTCTGAATTAACATCAATATTTGGATGAAATTGTGTATCTCCGAAACTAGGCATTTTAGGACATACATTTATACAAACTTTTTTACTTAATTTTATCTGCAGAATATGTTGCCGAACTTTCCGGAATACAGTTCGAACAACCCTGTATAAAATGAACTGCTTTATTTAGACAAAGGTTAATATAATTTTATCTTATTCTGTTGGTTATAGCAATAAATCCAGTGTTAGGAGAAGTGTGATACCGGGAATGGATGAGGATGATGGTGACTATGCCACTCTTAGAGAACTGCCTTTACCGCCCTCTGTATCGCAGAGATTAAGCAATGGAGAAGACACTGCTAGTGAAGAAGGAAAGGTAAGTTATAAAACTACTTCATTTATCAAATGAATCAAAAATTGTAGTTCTTAATATCAATATTAGAAAAGCTAAATGTTTGTGTTGATGTGTTTGTGTTCTGTTTAGTGATTTACTAACATTTTCTCATATTTTTAAACCCTTCCCGGACACAAACGCTAAATTGTGAAACAGAAAATTGTAGAGAGAGACAAGCCCTATAACATAGGATACAACATTTTAATGAGCAGTGCTTTCCATAAAATCAAGAAAACGAAAAATATACGAAATAATATACATGTACTGATTTCTTTCGAAAATCGACAACTATGAAACTATGAACCCTTCCCGGACACAAACGGTACATTGTGAGACAGGAAATTGTAGAGAGAAACAAGCCCTATAACATAGGATACAGCATTTTAATGAACAGTGCTTTCCATAAAATCAAGAAAATGAAAAATATACGAAATAATATACATGTACTGATTTCTTTCGAAAATCGACAACTATGAAACAATGAAACCTTCCCGGACACAAACGGTACATTGTGAGACAGGAAATTGTAGAGAGAAACAAGCCCTATAACATAGGATACAACATTTTAATGAGCAGTGCTTCCATAAAATCAAGAAAATGAAAATATACGAAATAATATACATGTACTGGATTTCTTTCGAAAATCGACAACTATGAAACTATAAACCCTTCCCGGACACAAACGGTTTTTATCGCTCAGTATATTTTAAGGCACCTCCTCTGTGTTTGTAAGTCTTTAAATTACTACCAAGAAACCTCATGGGCGCAAAAAACCCTACAGAATCGTTTTAAAAAGCATCTGGGCTAATTTCCCTCTCTCATTAACATTTTAAAACATTTCCCGGCATAGTAATTTTCAGAGAAAAGCACACTGAACCTCACTTAGCACGTTTTCTTTCCCAAAAGAAGCGAAACGACTAAAATAAAAAGTCTCTCGGGTTTTCCAGGGTAAAATTGGGGTTTTGAAGGTAAATAAATCATTTAGAAAGAGCTCGGGGGTTGGAAGGGTAAGGGGGGCATACTGCGATCCTGGTAAAATTGCCAAAAGCGTGAGACAGATTTCTGTGATGTTCTGATATGTAAAAAAGATGAAAAAAAGGGTTATTGAGTTTGATATTAATGAAGGTTTGGATGAAAATAGAATTTTTAAGATTGGAATTTCATTTTTTTTTTCTTTAAATCGTTACATGGGTGGTGATTGCAAACAAATTTGCAGTGATTATGTTGTGTTCTCACAGATACGTAATGAATTAATATAAATATTTATTAAAAAAACACACACTTACATATTCCCAAACGTTGTGCCTCCCAAGTGGAAAAACAAGTGGCCAAAAAAATAAGTAAAAAAGTTCATATCAATGTATGTCCTAAAATGCTTAGTTTCGGAGATACAGGGTGTAGAAATTTCATTTTTATCTCGACATTTTCCAGGTAATTTCTTAAGTAACTTAAATATTTGGATGAAAATTGGTGTCGGGAAGTTTTTTGGTATGAGGAATTTGATTTTGATGTCATTATAACTCCTATCTATAGGGGGTGTCACCTACATGTGTTTTAACTGTTTGAAAAGTAATAACTATTCGTCCATACCTGTATAAAACTACTGGGTGAAAAAATATACATTGCCGTGATTTTCTACGTAAAAAATCTTGGTAAAAATCGCTAGGAGCAACCGTTTTTAATATATTTAGAATTAAAATAGTCAAAGCATTTCATCGTTGACAAAAATTAAACATGTTGAGTAGATAGTTATTTGACTGGAATGATAAATTTAAGAATTTTGTATTTTTTTAAATTAATCATAAACTTTTTTTCGAGAAAATTATGATAAGACAGTTTCTGGTGAACTTTTGGCACAAAAACATTTCAAATATATGATTTCAGTCTAATAACTATTTATTCAACATATTTAATTTAAATCAATGATGACAGGTATTGATAATTTCGATTCCAAATATCTCGAGAACAATTACTCGTAGCGATTTTTACCAAGATACCTTTTTTACGTAAAAAACTTTGTAAATGTATATTTTTTTACTCAGTAATTTTATACAGGTACGGACGAAAAGTTATTACTCTTCAAACCAGTTAAAAAATATGTAAGTGGCGCCCTCTACAAGTAGGAGTCATATTGACATCAAAACCCAATTTCTCATGTCAAAAAACTTCCAGACACCAATTTTCATCCGAATAATAACGTTACTTCAGAAATTATTTGGAAAAAATCGAAATAAAAACGAAATTTCTACACCCTGTATCTCCGAAACTAGGCATTTTAGGACATACATTTATACGAATATTTTTACTAATTTGTATCTGCAGAATCTGCTGCCGAAGTTTCCGGAATACAATTTGGACCACCCTGTATAAATTATTACGATTATAATAAACAGTTTTTGTCTAAAAATATTTATAAAAAAATAAGGGATCTATTTTACTTTAAAAGATATAAAATACTTTAAAATATCTAAAATTCACCAAAAAATAAAAAAGATAAAAGAAAATTTAGGATAGAAGATTGAGTGAATACAAAACCGTAATCATGATGGAAGCCTTGCCAAATTTTAAGTGCAAATCCCAAAGGGCTTCGCTTCTAATGGAGTGTGAACGAATCCGAACACGAGACCCGAGATTTCTGGCACGACAATGTAAAATAATATTGGAAAGAATCAATGGAAGACCCAATTATTCCCTTTATCAGATTGCGCAATGAGGTGTCCTTTGTTCTTGGTTGATTTAAAGGTTTCCATTAAAGAAAGGTTTATTTGTGTATTCAATCGATTTCAATTTAAGAATGGATTTAAAGAAGATTGCATACAGGGTTTTCCTTAATGACATGCTATTATTTAAAGGGGTTAATTTTTAGGCTGAAGAAAAGGACTTATGGCTTCAACTGAAACGTTCACTTCTGTAGCTGCCAGAAGTTGCCTTTGTAGCTCTGGATGAGAAACATTGGGATTTCTTCTAGCAATTTGGCACACAAAGCGGTCTAGTTGTTCAGTTGTGACTCTTTGACGACTTTGTGTAGGTCTGTTCTTAAGAGTTCCTAGTTAAAAGTACCTTGCATATGTTTTGGATACAACTTCCTGGATAACGCATACTATCTCTGCTACGTCTATTTGGGACATTCCTTATTCAATGAGAGCAATAATTCTTCCCCTCTATATTTTTTTGGATCAAATGAAAATTACCGGACAATCGTGATTTTACTACTGAGCACAAAATTCACAAGAAAATAAATCGCAGCAGTCGTTTATTCTTTATTTTCATGTTCCTTTACAACAAAAAGCTTGATCTTAAAGTTGTATACCAAGTTTTTTCCTTGCAAAAATTTAGTCAGAGATAAAAAGTGATTCCATGTAAGTTTGATTCTCTGTATACCGTTACACTTATTATAAATAATTATTTATTACACTGAAATTCTTCGTTTTTCACAGCTTCTTGCCTGTGTTCACGATGAGCACATCACATACGCCAGCACAAATCAAGATTTCACACCTCCTGTCGTCTATGAGGATCCCAGTCCGCTGCTTGAACCCGTAGTGGTTCATACTAATTTCGAAACTCCAGTAAGTAACAACTTTTAAGTTATTTTTTCATAATCGTAGTATTGAAATTACCTTAAAATTAATTACTGTTAAAATTTTTATCAAAAATAAAATACACCTCCCCAATAAATTAACGCACCACAAAAAAATAACCAAAAGTTTAAGTTAAGTTTTTGTCAAAACCACTTATCCGATTTGGACGATTTTTTTTGAATGATAGGTTATTCTTTCCACAATGTTGCTATACTAACTGTATTTTGATAGGAACCCTTTTTATACTAATACCGGGTGTAGCAATTATAACGTGTTTTTTCGGCTGTACTGTTTGGGTCGCTTTCAGGGGTCGGGTGAAGCGGGTGTGTGGCCGAAGGAGATATATATTATATTTCCAAGAAATCTGCCTAAGGCTTAGCCCGATCCTGTCGTATTAAGCTCACCACAAAATTTCAAACACACGTGCTTTGATTAAGGCTTGATTACGGTTTGCAGAGCTTCAGCATTTGCCATAAAATATCGAGCGTCATGTTATTGTTGTGTTATGTATACATTATTGTTATATTTGTATACATTAGTGTTAAGACATTGTTATATTTATATGAGTTATTATACATATATATATATATATATATATGTATATATATATATATATATATGTATATATATGTATATATGTATATGTATATATATGTATATATATATAAAGTTACATTATATATATATATATATATAATTAATAAAAATATTTTCTTGCTCTTTGGCTGTTATTGTTTTTCTAATTTCGAAAATCGAAAGTAGAGGTAAATTAAAAAAAATAAATAAAGAAGTAAAAAGAAAAATTGTTTTGCTTGTCGTAAAGGGGGAACCAAGCTCCATTCCCACAACCGGTTTCTGGGCTCTACCCTTCATCAGGTGGGCTGTCCAGAGTTGATCAGTTACAGTATCAAGTTAAAATTGAAATCACATTTTAGACTTATGTTTTTAAGTGTCGGTGAGATATTTACTGCATTATCGTCCTTAGATGAGAAAGAGCGTTTTATAGGATGACACGATTTAATATTGGTTTTAATCTTACAGCTTTAGTGTATACTCAAAAAATATTTTCTAGCCTTTAGCTGTGTAAAACATCTAATTTCGATTTATTGATATTTTTTTTTAATTTTTTTCTACTTTCGATTTTTTCGGAAATTAGAAAAAATACACAGCTAAAGGCAAGAAAATATTTTTATTAATATACACTAAAGCTGTAAGAATTTTGTTCATTTCATATATTTGAGCGGGCCGAAAACGCTCTTTACCATCTTTTGACGGAGATGCACTAATATCTCACCGACACTTTACGACATCGTCTGTAGATATAGAAGAAGTTCTGCTTGCCGTATCGGTGAGAACCAGTAACTGGACAGCCCACCTGATGAAGGGTAGGCCCAGAAACCGGTTGTGGGAGTGGAGCTTGGTTCCCCCTTTACGACAAGCAAAACAATTTTCTTTTTCTTCTTTTTACTTTTTATTTATTTATTTTTTTTAATTTTTTCTCTACTTTCGATTTTTCGAAATTAAAAAAAAATACACAGCTAAAGGCAAGAAAATATTTTTTATTAATATACACTAAAGCTGTAAGAATTTTGTTCATTTCATATATATATATATATATATATATATATATATATATATATATATATATATATATATATATATATATATATATATATATATATATATATATATATATATATATATATATATTAATTATATATCACTGTAATCACAAAACTTCAATCTATTTCCGTATTGTAAGGGAATTTTCAATTTTGTCTTTATTTTAGAGAAAATTTAGTCCAAACATAAGGAATATTTTGTTGATGTTCGACCATCAAAATCTTAAAAATAAAGAAGTTGTCTAAAAATGTTCTAAAATACGGATATAGTATAGTATACTCCTTTATCTTTAATTTCCTTCTTCATTTGTGTAAAAATACTTAGTCAGTTTTACATAAAACGTCAAATGTCAAACGCTTATTTTGCTACTTTTTCGGACTAATGAAATGGACTTTAAGTAAATTATTTCATTTTATATGGATAGTACTGCAATAAATGGACTTCGAACATTCGAGGTGTAGTGGACGTCTCCAAAAAATGTTGATTGTAATTTCAGTGGCTACTGTGACGTCGTTTTTTTGTTCTCGATAGTAAACTAGATATTTGTCGTCGCATGTTTCTAGGACTGTGTAATGTTAACTCGATAGCAGCGATAGTGGAAACACTGTTTACTTGCCGGTAATGGAATTAGGGTGGGACTATATACGTGCTTGTATGTGTTTACTGGAAATACCGTAACCGCGGCCAGGATGTATAACGGCTGTGTAGAAACAAGCCCGAATTTCCAATAAAATTGAATTACAAATGGAGACCGGAATGTGTTAAAGCTTGTTGCTTGGAGCAGCACGTTTGTGCTCACCTAAAATTTTGTCAAATTTTGTAATTTTTATTCACTGGGTTGAAAATTATTATTGTATTGCTAATATCGTTATTAAAAAATAGGGGTTGATGGTAGAAGGGTGAAAATTTAAGGTTGTATGTATTAAAAGTCGATGTGACATTAAAAGTCACATCGTAAAAAAATAAAAATAAAAAATGTTGTCGAAAAAATTATACTTATAAACTAAGTTAATATACATGTTCTGATTTCTTTCGAAAATCGACAACTATGAAACTATGAGCCCTCCCCGGACACAAACGGTACATTGTGAGACAGGAAACTGTAGAGAGAAACAAGCCCTATAACATAGGATACAACATTTTAATAAACAGTGCTTTCCATAAAATCAATAAAATGAAAAATATTCGAAATAATATACATGTACTGATTTCTTTCGAAAATCCACAACTATAAAACTATGAACCCTTACCGGACAAAAACGGTACATTGTGAAACAGGAAATTGTCGAGAAACAAACCCTATAACATAGGATACAACACTTTAATGAACAGTGCTTTCCATAAAATCAATAAAATGAAAATATGCGAAATAATATACACGTACTGATTTCTTTCGAAAATCCACAACTATGAAACTATGAACCTTTCCGGACACAAACGGTACATTGTGAGACAGGAAATTGTAGAGAGAAACAAGCCCTATAACATAGGATACAACATTTTAATGAACAGTGCTTTCCATAAAATCAATAAAATGAAAAATATACGAAATAATATACACGTACTGATTTCTTTCGAAAATCCACAACTATGAAACTATGAACCCTTCCCGGACACAAACGGTACATTGTGAGACAGGAAATTGTAGAGAGAAACAAGCCCTATAACATAGGATACAACATTTTAATAAACAGTGCTTTCCATAAAATCAATAAAATGAAAAATATACGAAATAATATACATGTACTGATTTCTTTCGAAAATCCACAACTATAAAACTATGAACCCTTACCGGACAAAAACGGTCCATTGTGAAACAGGAAATTGTAGAGAGAAACAAGCCCTATAACATAGGATACAACATTTTAATAAACAGTGCTTTCCATAAAATCAATAAAATGAAAAATATTCGAAATAATATACATGTACTGATTTCTTTCGAAAATCGACAACTATGAAACTATGAACCCTTCCCGGACACAAACGGTACATTGTGAGACAGGAAATTGTAGAGAGAAACAAAGCCTATACATAGATACAACATTTTAATGAACAGTGCTTTCCATAAAATCAATAAAATGAAAATATATGAAATAATATACGTACTGATTTCTTTCGAAAATCCACAACTATGAAACTATGAACCCTTCCCGGACACAAACGGTACATTGTGAGACAGGAAATTGTAGAGAGAAACAAGCCCTCTATAACATAGAGATACAACATTTTAATAAACAGTGCTTTCCATAAAATCAATAAAATGAAAAATATACGGAAATAATATACACGTACTGATTTCTTTCGAAAATCCACAACTATGAAACTATGAACCCTTCGGACACAAACGGTACATTGTGGGACAGGAAATTGTAGAGAGAAACAAGCCCTATAACATAGGATACAACATTTTAATAAACAGTGCTTTCCATAAAATCAATAAAATGAAAAATATACGAAATAATATATATGTACTGATTTCTTTCTTGAAAATCCAATACAACTATAAAACTATGAACCTTACCGGACAAAAAAAACGGTCCATTGTGAGACAGGAAATTGTAGAGAGAAACAAGCCCTATAACATAGGATAAAACATTTTAATAAACAGTGCTTTCCATAAAATCAATAAAATGAAAAATATACGAAATAATATACATGTACTGATTTCTTTCGAAAATCCACAACTATAAAACTATGAACCCTTACCGGACAAAAACGGTCCATTGTGAAACAGGAAATTGTAGAGAGAAACAAGCCCTATAACATAGGATACAACACTTTAATGAACAGTGCTTTCCATTAAATCAATAAAATGTTGTTACATGCTTTACATGTTACAGCATTAGCTAACATGCTGTTAACTGAGTTTACAATTCTTCTCCATTGAGTTCTATTGTGAGCTGCTTCTTCCCACTCATTCTGCATGTTAAGCCCCTTTAAGTTTTTATGGAAAATGTCCTTGTACCTTTTCAGTTGTCCACCCGGTCTCCTCTAACCGTCTACAAGCTCACCGTAAAGCAGAGATTTTGGAATGCGGTTTTCTTGCATTCTGCATACGTGACCATCCCATCTTAAGCTGGATTTTGTGACCATGACTTCAATACTCTCGCAGTTAGCTTTTTCAAGGACCGATACGTTTGAGACGTGATACAACAAAGCTTGTTTAATCCGTTCATTGTACATATAATACTTTATATGTACATTGTACAGGGTGGACCATTTTGGTTGTTTCGAAATACGATACTAATACGAAACAACCAAAATGGTCCACCTTGTACATATAAAATTTCATCAAAATCGGTTAAGCCGTTTTGGAGGAGTATGATAAATAAAACTGTTACTCGATTTTTTTTATATTTTAAATT